TGTATTTTTATTTGTTTATTTGAGACAGGGTTCCTCTATGTAGCTCTGGCTGTCCTGGAACTCGCTTTATAGACCAGGCTGGTCTCGATCTCACTGAGATCTGCCTGCCTCTGCCTCCCAAGTGCTGGGATTAAAGGCGTGTGCTACTATTCCTGGCATGGTTGGGACATTTTAAAACAACCCAGGTAAGGGATAAGGAGGACTACCCAGGCTTTACTGTCCTAGCTGTCTTAAATTCTGACATTGCAGTCCTCAGGGAGCTTCTAGGAACTATCTTGCTGTCTCCATGGATAGTCCCCTTCCATCACTTAAAGTGTTCCCGGTTGTCTGCTGATAGAATAGACAGGACTAGCCAGGCAGTGGTGGCGCATGCTTTTAATCCCAGCACTCGGGAGGCAGAGCCTATGAGTTCGAGGCCAGCCTGGTCTACAGAGCGAGATCCAAGACAGGCACCAAAACTACACAGAGAAACCCTGTCTCAAAAAACCGAAAAAGAATAGAAAGACTAACAGTTTCTTACTGTTCAGGGTAATGTTTTAAATACTCAACCAACTTCTATTTGTAAAGGCCAGATGGCAAGTATTTTTAGGTTGTGTGGGCCAAATAGTCTTACAAGACAACTATTATGTGGCCGCAGTAACACAAAAGCAGCCATACGGAATATGTAATTGAGTGAATATGGCTATGTTCCAGTAAAACTAGATTTATGATAACAGGATAGATTTGGCTTCTGATGTGGCAACACTTAGCTCAGGGTATAACAAGAAATACGGTCTTTCTGTGCTGTGCTCTCACACACTGGTTAACATGATGGTTCTGAGCCAGAATGCTAAGTCAGATGTCCGCTTCACCACTTACCAGCCCTAGTTCTCTGTGACTCACTGTCTTTGTTCTGGACGGTGAGGACAGTACTAATAAAATTCACGACTGTCGTGAGGCATCACATCGGTTTCTGCATGGTAACACACGTAGGACAGTAGCGACACTGGCAAGTGCTGGTGCTGAAGAAGTGACGCTGCCGTCTTTGCTGCAGACATGTTTAAAGGAGTCGGACAGCAGTGACCCCGAAGACTTTGGCTCCGACCACAGTGAGGACTGCCTTTCAGAAGCCAGCTGGGAGCCTGTGGATAAGAAGGAGACCGAGGTACGTGGGGCACATGTGCAGCAGGTACTTCAGTGAGTTACGTTTCCCAGAGATGAGGAGGCACTTGACCTGGGAACCCCGCTCCCCCCACCCATAAATATCATCCTTGTAGGCGAGTATGGCCAGTCATAAAGGCCGTCCTGGCTGTTTTCTCCCGGGCTACTTTCCTAATTGCAATGTTGTTCTTCTCCATTTTGGACATGGACCTGGAATTTTCCCTTGTGCCTTCTGGTAGGTGACTCGCTGGGTTCCAGACCATATGGCCTCACACTGCTATAACTGTGACTGTGAATTCTGGTTGGCCAAGCGGAGACATCATTGCAGGTAAGTTGGGTTTTGTTTTTTTTTTTTGTTTTTTTTTTTGCATTTCATTGTTACTCATAATGTAGGGTACTATGTGTAGAAGGAAACTAAATTAATAGAAAATGGAGATATCTTAATATTTTTGTCTACTCCCAGCCTTTTTATTTATTCATAGAAACCTTTTTAGACCATCATTCATTCTCAGGACACTGATACTTCTGATTAGTTCCTCCCTCTTTGTACTTTGGCAGAAATTGTGGGAACGTATTTTGTGCTGGATGCTGCCACCTTAAGCTGCCCATTCCTGATCAGCAGCTCTATGACCCAGTTCTCGTCTGTAACTCATGTTACGAACACATTCAAGTATCTCGTGCCAGGGAGCTCATGAGCCAACATCTGAAGAAACCCATCGCTACAGCTTCTAGCTGAATGCCAGAGGAGACGATCTGCCCATTTTTAGCAGGTTTGAAGGGAGGATCTGCTTCAGGTGTAGTCTGGAAGGTTCCTTGGTATGGCTCATGAACACAGAGCTCAAAGATACCGTCTTGAGAAATCCTCCTTGGTACCATGTGACTGGAGCAGAGGAATTTGAATTTGGCAGGAGATTTTCTACTGGAGAGACCCTCACTTTGGGGTAATGGTCCTGATCCAGACCCAGAGTCTGGAAGCTTCACACTGAGTTGGTGACTCCAGGTTCCCTCCTGGAGGTCACAAGATGATGATTTCATAAATACTGCCTGGTGCAAAGTGCCCAAACAGCAATAGAAAGGCATAATTACAACCAAACTCCAAGTGATGACGAGACCCATCTCTCCTCCACCTTGAAAAGAGCAGATCATAGTATACAAGATAGAACTTCCCATCCTATTGGAGAAGAACTCCACTCTGTACCTCTGTGCTCTGTGTCTGTGCATGAAGGCTCAGTCTTTGGAGGCACTCCCTCTAGTTGCATTAGTATTGTCTTCCTCTGTGGAGTTTGGTTCAAAGACTGGTTTGGCAAATGGAGGTTTGGATGTATTTTTCACCTGGCTCACTGGCCAGCATCAGCAAATATTCAGTTGCCAGAGGGACAGTTCTAAGGATTGAGACGTTTTTGGAAACAGAGGCAAACTCTGGTGATGTTTAGTTATTTTGAGCTGTGAAGGCAGTTATCACTCTGTTCCGCAGTGGCTGCTCTTGAGGTGCGTGCGCACTGTGAAGAATGAGGAGGGAAAAGCAAAACTATCCTTGTGAAACTCTGCTGAGTGTGCCCTACCCTTTGCACCTGACTTTTCCTAGTTGTCCTGGTGCTAACATGGGAGCTACACCTTGATCCTCCCCTGGCATGAAAATAAAGCAAAGGATTTGTTGTTCCACTGCCCACCTCCCCTGTCGTCTTTCCCTTGGCTGCTGCCTCCTCTGGGTCACACTGCTTCTTATCCTGAACACTTGACACCTTGAGGGTAGAATATAACATTTGGTTTTTACCTCCTAGCATATGCTATTTGGTATGTGAGGGTTTCAGTACAAATGCTGCTGTCTATTTCTGTGCACTTAACAATGGAACCCAAACAGAAAGAAGAAAGCCTTGATACCAAAATTGGGAGTGATGATGTGTCCATTTGGACCAAACATTTTGTTTTGTTTAATTTTGATTTTGTTTTTCATCTTACTATGTACCAGTGGCACTTAACCAAAAGATACAGTAATATAGCCATGTCCTGTGGTTGGGACAGATACAGTCTCCTTGGCTTACAGTGAAAGCGCTAGGACTTCTAGCTCTGTTTTCCTTAATTCATTCATGTAGAAAAGATCGATTGCTTACTCTGTTAAAACCACAGCAGTTGTCTTTCTCACTGCTACCTACCGTCATGCTGCTTTCTAGAAAACATTGTTTTCATTCCAAACTAACCAGAAGCTACATTTAGAATGGGAATTACTGTCCTGACCTTTTCTTCAGTTCTGCAGCAAAGCATCTGTGCTCCGTGTGTACGTGCCATGGATGTATTCTAAAAAGTTTTGGCGTATGTAGGTCAGCCTAGCAGATTTTTTTTTTTTTTTCATTTAAATGGAGCCTGAATAATGGAGATTTTGTGTCTGGGAAATTCCTAGGATCAATGAAAGAGTGACAAACTATTTGTCTCTGATACATAAAAATATTTGAAGCATTTTCTCAATCATTAAAATTGACTGCCAGTCAGGAATGGCTTTTTAATTACCGATTTTCATTGCACTTCACTCTGTTTTCAGGGGGATCGGTAACATTCTGGGAGACTGTATCTGTCTACTTTGTGTGACTGTTTTGAGAGACTGTCCCATCATTGAACAAACTGCATGGCCCTGGAGAGAGATTCTGGGCTTCTGGCTCAGATGCGTTCATCCTTTCAGAGCTGTTGTGGGTGTAAGTGACATGATGTGGCCAAAAACCCAAGCTGTGCAGTTGCGTTGTGACAAACATGCAGTGTGCTGTAAAAACTCAATACAGTTTAAATAAAATCTCTATATTAGTGCTGCTTTGTTGGGTCCTTCTGTTATTTTAGTTTATTGGCGCTGGGATTGAACCTGTGGCCTCATGGATAAAGCACTCCACCACTGGACTAGATTCCTAGCCCTTCATTCTAATTCCTGAGAAAATGTCGTATTCTGAGCTACGTATGACTGTTGTGCGCTGAGTACTTGGTGCTAAAGGCCCAAGGATGAAGGCAAGTTTGAGGCTAGACGGGGCTATATAGCAAAAACAAACTGCTGTACTCATCCGAGTCCCTCTTGTTTTTGTGTTTGTTGACTGCATAAGGAATTTATTCTGTAGGATTCTATCCCCTTTCAAGTGAGGTTCATTTCACTTTCTTGTCTGGGCGATCACAGCTGGCCAGCAAGCACATAGAATTGTTCTAGGGTCTCTTTATTCCCTTCCGCCAGGTACCGTGGGTCTCATCTAATTTGAAGTCAAGTTTTCTTGAGCAAACTTTTTTTTTGAAAACATAGAACAATGCTAGTATATGACAAAATGGATTCATGTACTCTGGTTTCTGTTCCTAAACCCCTCCCCATCGTTTTTATTTGGAGAGAGCAGCAGTTCGACTGTTAGGAAAGACTATGGAGAGAGCCCCTGTTCTCAGGAAGCACTTGGCTGTCTATCACCCAGGCACACTCTGCGTTCTGAATCCCCCCCGGGCCGCCCTGCCCTGCCGAAGCCCCTCCAATCTCGTTGAGGTAACCGGTCCTCTTTCTCCTCAGGAACCACAGTTCCCTGATGAGCTGCCTTCCGGGGGAGGGGGGAGCCCGACAGGCCCGACAGGCCCCCCGAGGGTGGCCCCAGTGGCCTGCCATCACCCTGGCAGGCGTGCGCCCCGCCGAGGGGGAGGGCGGGCTCGCGCCCCGCCGGCCACCACGCGGCGGGAACTCGAGGCCCCATTGGCCGCACCGGCGGGCGTGCGGGGACTCGTGCGCCAACGGTCCGGGCCTCGGCGGCCGGGCGCTGGCAGGAGGGGGCAGGGCGCAGCGAAGGCCCGGGGGATCGAGAACGGTGGGAGAGCCAGGCTCGGCGGGGCGAGGCCCAGGGCCCGGGCGGGCGATGGAGGAGGCGCTGCTGTCCACCCCCATCAACCCCAACAACTTCCCCGCCAAGCTGTGGCGGCTGGTGAACAGCCCTCGGTACCGCTCCATCCGCTGGGACGGCCGTGGCGAGGGGCTGCTCATCGACCAGCCGCTCTTCGAGGCCGAGCTGCTTAGCCCGCCGGGCCCGGGGGCCGGGGGCGCCGGGAGCGGCGGCGGGGGCGGCGGCGGGGGCGGCGGCAGCGGCGTCGGGGCGGCCGGGGCCGAGCCCGAGCTCTTCAAAACCACCAACTTCACCAGCTTCATCCGCCAGCTCAACCTCTACGGCTTCCGCAAGGTGGTGCTGGGTGGGCCGGGGGCGGCGGGGCCCGGGTCAGGGCCTGGGGCTGGCGGGCCGGCGGGCGACGGGCCACTCCACCACTTCCACAGCCCGCACTTCCGTCGCGACCAGCCTCAGCTGCTCGTTCACCTCAAGAGGCTCACCAGCGCCAACAAGGCCAAGCTGGCGGCCGGACTGGAGGTGCCCTGTCGCCCGCCCAACCGCTTCCAGCGGCTCCTCATCACGTCAGCCTCCGCCTCCGCCTCCGCCTCCACCTCCCCGCTGCAGCATCAGGACCCGCCGCCCCAGCCCGCCGGGCCCCGGCCCGAGCAGCACGGTGAGTGTGTGCCACCTGGATCCTGGCTCTCCATCATTCATGCACGTGGGCGGCGGGAGCATGCACCATTTCTGCACAACCCCAGGACTAGGTCACATCACCTGCGTCATCCTCACCTAGCACCTGCCTTTTCTCTGGCAAGAGTCCATAAGCATTCCCAGGTCTGTGTGTCTAGCTGCAAAAAGGGCCTAGGCTTTAGGCTTGCTTTCTACTCTTCTCCAAGAGAGTGATCCCCAAGAGTTAACTTGCTTCTAAACCTCTTAGCCATTTACCTCTGCCTAGTCTCTCCACTGTGATCATCCAGAATAAGCAGTCCTTCATTGAAGCATCAGATGGGAAGGGCCTCTATTGTCCGGTCCTCAGAACCGGCAATCTACGGGTTCCAGTACGAAGGAACAAAGTCACTGCCCAGAAAACTTAAGGAATTAACCCAACCCAGGGAAAGGGGAAGAGGTCCCTCGAGTGGAAATGTATTCTTGAAGGGACATGCCACTTTTCACCAATGAACACATCTAAGAAATCATTGAAATATTATCTATCTAAGGGGCAAGCTTTGTTCCTGTGTAGAATCAATTCACTAATACTTGCATCACAACTAATTAGAGCTTAATACCTGACTTGAGATGTTACTGGTGGGCAAACATAAAGCAAAATAGCTAAAGACGAAGCAAAACAAAAACTAGAGGTCAAGACTTAGTTTAACAGAATTTTAGAAAGCACCCATTCATACTTTATCCTGGTCATTCAGGATGGGGGAGGCTGTGTGAATATTTAGTGAAAAATTCAGAAACCTTTGGTCATGGTTATTTCATGCCTCTCTGCACTCCTACACACAGGTGAGGGTGGCCGTGGTCCCTTGCTCTGTTTGGAGGCCACAATAGACAGCTGTACCAAGGAAGCACGGGCGCTAATCGGGATTTGGAATTCTTTTTTATTTATTTTTTTTCCACCTTCAAATAGAAGAGAAATAGAAACATCTTCAGACTGTTAGCATGGTGAAGCATAAAGAAGTCTGGGTTATTTTTGAGGCATGGAAAAAATTTAAATGTGCAAATAACACTGTGGTCCCTTTAATCTAGCCCCAGTACTGAAGCAATACTGCATTTGGAATTTGGAAGATAAGAGCCTAGGTTTTCTGTCTGTGGAGTTTAGAAGATAAGGAACTAGGTTAGAGTTCTAGTGACCTGCTGAGAAAATAACAGTGGCATAGGAATGTTCTAAAGGAGTTCTAAAGGAAAAGGGAGCTGCCCCCTTGTGGTCCTTGATTTAGCTGAGGATTTGTGTGGAGAAAGAAGTGGAGACAGTCCTATGGAATATGTTTTGAGGAAACGCTAGCTCGGGTTGTTTGGTTTTCACGGCTCATTGCTAGAGGACACTAGGAGAAAAGACAAGGAAATAACGTTCCTAGGGCGAGCTCTTTTAATCTTTTCCCTCACCGATCTTAAGCCAGTTGTGTTCTTTTTGTTGGTGTTTAAAATGACACGTATTTACTTACTTGTGTATACTTGCACACGCATGCACTTGACGTATGGCGTGTGTGGAGGTCAAAGGACAACTTGTCATGAGTCTGTTCTCTTCTACTGGGGCTTAGACTCAAGCCATCAGGCTTGGTGGCAGGCACCTTTACCGAGTGAGCCCTTTTTTTGTTATTATATTTTCCCAGTTGGATTCATAAGGCCAGTGTCCAACTTATTTAAGCATTTTAAAGATTACTTGTTGAAAAAAATGATGCTTTTTCAGTGTGTGGGGTGTGTGAGTGTGTTTCCAGGCATCTCCTATTCTCTCCCTGGTGTACAGAAGGGTGGCAGCCATTGCCTGTATTTAGAGCAGGAGACAGTGGTGTGGCTGTCTTAGGTGTGATGTAGTTCTTTTGCAGTCCCGGGAATACTGTTGCAGTCTGTCTCCTTCCGGGCACTTCTGTTGTTCCCCACCCTCTTTTTTCTTTGACATTTTAATTTTAGGGTACAAGGTCTTGGTGTGTAGTCCAGGTTGACTTTGCAGTCTTCTCGACTCAACCTCCCAAAAGCTGGGGTTATAGGCATGTGCCACCCTGCCGGGCTTCCCACACCTGGTGTTTATTCCATTTGGACTTGCCTTGGTTATATGACTGCTGCTTCCTGCCTTCCAAATCCTCCTTAGTTGTAGAATGGTCTATTTTAGGACCTAGTGTTCTAATTAGATCCACTAAGTCAAGAATATACTTGATAAAAGTGTGAAGATTCTGTGGGGTGTTTTTTTCCCTTTTTGGTTAAGCCCATTTATGTATTTTGTTTTCATTGGCAATATAATATTTGTTATGCTGGTCAAAATGAAGTTGAAAGTCTAGGGAGTTGATACTCTTGTGTGGAAACACAAGTTTTCGATAAGCAAATTTTGGGATTCTTGGATGGAAATGGTTAGTTTGGTTTCATTTCCATAAAAGGAATAGAATCTTGGCTGGGCAGTGGTGGCACACGCCTTTAATCCCAGCACTCAGGAGGCAGAGCCAGGTGGATCTCTGTGAGTTCGAGGCCAGCCTGGTCTACAAAGTGAGTTCCAGGAGAAACCCTGTCTCAAAAAAACCAAACCAAAAAAAAAAAAAAAAAAAAAAAGAATCTTAAAAAAAAAAAAAAAATCCATCATGCCCCACATTTCCAGAATTCTGAATTCAAATATTGCCAAATATACCTTAAAGATGTTCTGAAGACATGAATATAAACTAATCATGTCTTCATTCTTTAAGAAACAAGTTGAAGTATGACCTTCTCCCCCCCCCCAACTGATTTGGGGCCATTTTTATGAATACTTTGAAATTTTCATCATTTTGTATTTTGATCATATTCATCCCTCGCTCCTCCCCCTCCTTCCAGATCCACTCCCCGCCTCATGTCCTCACATAGATCCGAGTCTAGTTTATACTACCCATGGACTCGTGGGTGTGGGGTCAGCCACTGGAGCATGGCTGACCCCTTAGGGGCCACACCCTTCAAGAAAACTGACTCTCCTTTCCCCAGAAGCCATCAACTGTCAATAGTGAGGAATGACCTCCTAATCCTGGCAATATTTTTATATTATCAGCATCTAAAATAGGTAATGGCCCCAGCATCACTCAGAGTTTATCACCAGAGAGGCAGAATTTATTTATTTATTTATTTATTTATTTATTGGTTTTTTTCCAGACAGGGTTTCTCTGTGTAGCCCTGGCTGTCCTGGAACTCGCTCTGCTGGCCTTGAACTCGCTCTGCTGGCCTTGAACTCACAGAGATCCACCTGCCTCTGCCTCTTGAGTGCTGGGATTAAAGGTGTCTGTCACCACCACCTGGCTAGAATTTATTTTTTAATTCAGATTTAAACTACATTTTTGGAACCCAATTAGAGATTTTAGCAGCCAGCCCTGAAGGTTTAGTGAGCTCAGGTAACATGTAGTTTTGGCATGTGAAACGCTCCAGGAGAAATCAAGTAAGGGGTGGGGGTAGGTGAGATGCTCAGAAACACCTGTTATGAAAAGTACCAGTTTCTTTAGGAAAACCAGAATCGTTAGTGGTGAGTTCAAGGCATGTGAATATAAGAAACTGGTAGGCAAGCAACATCATAAAAGCTGCTCATAGGAAAACTTGGGGTGTTTTGTTTTGACAGTGGTGGGGATCAAACCCAGAGCTGCACACATTCCAGGCAAGTTCTCTGTCACTGGGCCATATCCCCAGCCAAGAAAATTGTTTAAAAGGTCTGTCATTTGAATACTTTCAGTCTTCTAAAGTAGGATTTTTTTTCCTTCATTAGATAGAGTGCTTGGTTTCCTAGGCTCCAGAATTTGTGTTGTTAGTGTTCATGCATGTATTTGTTTATTCTTGGTGTTAATCTTCATTTGCTAAGGAAATTAATTGCCATGGAAATAGAACGGGAGATGTGTAATGTGTTGAGTGGTTTATAATTTGATTATTTGAATGGGTAAATATTTGAGTGACATCTTTCAACATGTGGCTTAGCACTGAAGTCACACATAAATTAAGTTTTGCCTCTGTTTAATAAAAGTTAGCTCATTAAAGTAAATTGCCTAATAAGATTAGTTTAAGAAAGCATGTTGAAAGGAAATTGTGGGCCGGGCTGTGGTGGCACATGCCTTTAATCCCAGCACTTGGGAGGCAGAGCCAGGTGGATCTCTTGTGAGTTCGAGGCCAGCCTGGTCTACAGAGCGAGATCCAGGACAAGCACCAAAATAACATGGGAAAACCCTGTCTCAAAAAAAACAAAAACAAAAAGAAAAAAGAAAGGAAATTGTGAACCACATAATCAATAGGTAATATTCTCCTTCTGAATAAATTAGTTTAGTTTTTTTATGTTCAAGAATTACAATCTATAAAGTAAATCCAGGCTATAATGTTTATAGCTGTCATTTGCTCATTACATACTTTTGTCCTTTTCCTCTCATTTTTTATCTGGTTAGATAAGGAAAAATAAATGCTTGTGTCAGAGTCTCTGAGATTAGCCATCTGAAGTTTCAATCAGTGTTCCTGTGATGCATGTGGGAGTCCAGTGTTTGAAGGCCACTGATATCTGGGAAAGGTCTCTGTTAGAGACTAAAGAAAAGGAAAATGCAGGGCTTACACTATAGCCCAGTGGGTCAAGTGCTTTCCTAGCATATGCAAGTCATATGCAAAGGGTTTGATCCCCAGACCTGAAACGAGAGAAAAACTCAGCAAAGATGCTTGCTTGTTTGCTTGCTTGATTATTTGAGAAAATGAAGAACACTAGATGAAAGACTTCGAGCCTGACTGTTCTGCAAGGATTTGTTGTTAGGCAGAGTGAGGCGGCACTTTGGTGCCTTTGGTCTTGGCACTCAGTTGGCTGAGGCAAGAGAATGCTTCAGCGCTTCACTTAAACCTGGGCTGTGTAGTGAGTAATCAGGCCAGGTCAGGGCAATATAGCAAGACTGTCTCCAGAAATGAACTACATAAATAAATATAAAGTAAACAAAACAAGGGACCATTGAGGCAGCTCGGTGAGTCAAGGTGCTTGCTGAATTTGATCTCCCATAACCCACTTGGTGGAGGGGAGAACTAACTCCTGGAGATTGTCCCAAGAGCCACACACATGCTGTGGCAGGCATGCTCAAACAATAAGTAAATAATTAATCATTGCAATAAAGAAATAAACATAAAAGTAATTGAAAGGGGGCAAAGGGCATAATATCTCTTTGTGTCTCATGTTATGAATTCATATTTGTTCTGAAAATTTCTTTTGTATGTGTAATAGAGTAATACTTCCTTACTTATTAAAGTTCCTGAATGTCTTGAAAGAATGCATGGAAACTTTGGATTTAATTTCAGCGTTAGAGGCCGGCCACTTTACCTTTATGACAGTCATGCTGGGAATCATCACGAGTTGGTTATTCTTTCAGCACTGTGTTCTGAATTTGGTTTTGCTAAATTCAAAGTTCTGTCGTGTTAAGAATAGCTGAGAGGTGAACGACTGTGTATTTTTGACCTTTGGTTTACTGACTGATGGTGTATTGTAAAGTTTGTAAATGTGTTCTTCCTCTTTTATGCAGGACCAGTGGCTGTAGGACAATTTCACCGGTCATTCCGGCGAGATAATTTGTCTCCTTATTCCTACGTATCAACTTCATCCCACAACCACAGCACCTTCCCTCTGAAAGGTTTAGATCGAACCCCAATTCCTCCTAGAACATGGCAGAACTCCCTTGGAATGCACCCTGGACAAGTGGAGACATCTCCCACTTTTTCAGATAAAGGGGTTCCATTTCCTGTACTGCAGAGATTTCCAACTGAGGTTACTTATACGCTGCAGCCCAGCGCCACATCTGTACACGTTCAACAAGGTCCTCAAACAATGGTCAGCTCCTCCCAAAAATATAGTAACTACACCCCCTCGGCGCAGTACTCCCAAGCCTACTATCCAACAGGTAGGAGACGTTCGAGTTCACTGGCTTCTATAAAGGTAGTTTATAAGAACATTTATATTTTTATAGCATTTTAATCTTTGTGTGCTTATCAAATAGGAATATGCATTTAAAAATGTCAGTGACTTTTTAACCAGACATATTTTTAAACACTATATAATGATTAGGGGCTGGGGAGATGGATGGCTCAGTGGTGAAGGGAGTGTACTGTTCTTGCAGAGGACCCTAGCACCCATAACTGCCTGTAACTTCAGCTCCAGATGACCCAGTGCCCTGGCCTTCACCAGCATCTGCACTCACATGTGCATAGATCACCCCCCATAGACACCTCATTAAAATACATTTTACATATATAATACATATATAAAGTTTCATCTGTTCTTAAGGATTTTGAAAATCTATTACCACATAAAAGTGTGTATTTTCAGTGACGTGAAAATTCTATATCCTCAAAGTATATTCTAGATCTGAAATTAAGATTTAGTGCCCTGGGAGGCTGGAGAGACGGCTCAGTGGTTAAGAATACTGGCTGATTTTCCAGAGGACCCTGGTTCAGTTCCCAGCACCCACATGGCAGCTCACACCTGTCTGTAACTGCAGTTCCAGGGGACCCGACACCCTCACACAGACAAAACACCAGTGCACATAAGAGAGAGAGCGATTCGGTGTCCTGGGGCGTTCCTTCTGTCCCACCATTGTTGTAATGCTTACTTCAGTTTTTTGGGTTTTTTTAAAGATTTATTTTATTTATTATATAAACAGTGTTCTTTCTGCAAGTTTGCCTGTACTCCAGAAGAGGGAATCAGATGGCTGTGAGCCACCATGTGGTTGCTGGGAATTGAACTCACGACCTCTGGAAGAATAGTCAGTGCTCTTAACCTCTGAGCCATCTCTCCAGCCCCAGTTTGTTTTTAAGATATAGTTTTTATTTCACAAATGAGATTACCTCATCAAATCATTTTAGTATTTAAGTAATGAAGCGTAATAAGAACATATACTCTTTGAAAATTAAATCCTTAAAGTGTGATGAATAGTAGAACCCTGCACTAGTCACCCCAGCCGACTAAGAACTGAGGAGTGACCGACAGACTGACAGCTGTAGCTGTTAATTCAGCCAAGGCCATTGAGGACAGGCTGGTCCATCCCAAGACACTGGGACCCTTCCCGCAGTTACCGTTGCTTTTGCTTCTTGGAAAAAATTTAGTATTTTCTAATACCCTTTTGCAAGGTAGTATTATTTCCTTCAAATTACATTCTATTTTGTGTTTCGTCATGTGTAGTTCCGTGTTTTGACAGCAAGACAAAATTCACCCTCAATAACCACACAGTACAGTTACATACAAAAAATTAGGAAAATGCACATAACGTTTTAGTAAGTTTGTAATTTTGTGTGGTATCATTCATAGCTAGCCTTGGCTATATGTGGCCTGTGGCCATGGGTTGGACGAGCCTGCACAGAGAGGGAATAGACAGAAGACAAGGGTCAAAGCTTTCGGAGAAGACCAGAAGGAGGAGGGATGTAGAAGCATTGATTTTTGTCAGTTTTGCAGATCTAGAAAGAATCTCTGAAAGGGGTTTTGCTAGGCCATTCTTCCAGGGAAGATTGAACAATTTAAGAGAAAGGAATATAAACTAGAAAAGGAATTAAATAATCGGTTGACATTTAAAATTGTAAATGTGGTAACTGTTCTGTTTGTGATATTATTGTTTTCTGACTGTTAACATCTAAATATGTGGTTTTCCTATTGACTCATTGCATTTTACCTAATATAAATTTCAAAGGTATCAGTGATACTTTCACTAAATGTCCAAGTTGAATTCAGTTGTAGATGTTTATTTAGAGCTACTACTCTCCTGATGATGGAGCTGAGAATGAAGAAAGTGAATATGACTTAATATTTTTAATTGTTTTGCCTGTTAGTAAAAGCTGAAAGATTTATATAGTCCGAGAAGAAACTAGAGTACTATTTTTGCTCATTAGAAGTTTTTAAAACTTACTGCCTTATATAGAAAATGATTAAGCTCTAATATTTTTCCAGATTTGCAGCTACTTTTTATTTGTTTGTTTGTTTGTTTGTTTGAGACAGGGTTTCTCTTTGTAGTTTTGGTACCTGTCCTGGATCTAGCTCTGTAGACCAGGCTGGCCTCAAACTCACAGAGATTCGCCTGGCTCTGCCTCCCGAGTGCTGGGACTACCAAAATTTCATAAATGATTAATTTCTATAGTAAAGGCAAATCCAGGAACTGAAAACAAAATGCCATCAGGCTGACTAACAAAATGATCATCAGGTTCTCTTTTTATGTTTGTCCCTCCTTTGAAGCAGTAACTGTCCTTGCCTAGAACATTTGTGCATTCACAGTTCTTCCAAGACAGAATGATGTATCTGGTGTGAGCTGCTTCTATAATCTAACCCCTCCTAACCCTCCATTACCTTCAGTGTGATACTATAATTCTTCAAAGACAGAATGATGTATCTGGTGTTAGCTGCTTCTGTAATCTAACCCCTCCTAACCCTCCGTTACCTTCAGTGTGATACTATAATCTCCCTCTTTTGTAGAGAAATGTTCATTTTAGGCCTTTTAATTTTACTCATTTTTTACTGCGTATTTAAATATACTTAATATTCATCCATATTTACCTATCAAGTTCTGTGTTAAGGATTTTTTTCTTGACTAGCATGCTGAATTGGCTCAAAATCAACTTTGCCTTCTTTTCAAAGTTGTTTCTTTCCTTTCTGTGTGGATGTATGTGGTATTTGTGTGTGTGTTCAAATGTGTTGTGGGTGTGCGTGCATGTGTGTGCACATGCATACAGAGGACAAAGGTTGATGCTGGGGGTTTTCTTTGTCACTCTCCACTTTGTTTACTGAGGCAGGGTCTCTCCATGATTGGCTAGCATAGCTAGTCAGTGTGCCCAGGGATCGTGCTTATGCCTTCTGACTGTGACTTTTATGTGGACTAAAGCTCCACACTCTGGTCCTGGTCTTCATGCTTGTTCTGAAAGTGCTTTACCCACCGAGCCCTCTCTTCAGCCCCCAAAATTATGTTTTTAAGGTCAAGGTAGTGATGATTAATAAGTTATAAATGTCCTAATCTCATTTTCAAATGAGTACTTATGTAGCGGTTACTATGACCAGGCACCGTTCTAAGGACTTTCTAAATATCAATTCATTTAATTCTCAGATGTACCTTATAAGATAGGTTTTTGTCATTTTATAGATGGAGAAACTGAGGCACAACTAGTAAGTGGCAGACTGATGGAAAAGCCCAGCCAGCCTGACTCAGTCTACCTACATTCTTAGAAAAGAAGCCCCCGCCCCAAGTGCACTCGTGTGTGTGTGTGTGTGTGTGTGTGTGTGTGTGTGTGTGTGTGTGTGGTTTCGGTTGCTCTTGTTTTGCTATATTTCTCTGTTAGGGGAATCTTCTGATATTTCTCTCTGCCAGAGTTAGCTCTTGTCAGGTGCGGTAGACATGAAGAGGTTGGAGGAGAGACCTATTCTTGTGTGCTGCTGATGGCATTGGGACTGCTCTGGGTTATTACCCGAAGAAAGGGAACATGCTCCAGATGTTAGAGTGGGAAGGTCAAATTGGGAGCCCTGGGTAGTGTGGCTGCTTTTAATGTATTTCAGTATCCTCTCCTCTCGCCATAGTCCTTGATTATAATGGACCCTTGGTAAATATTCTGTTGAGTGGAGTGGACTGGTTCTAGTTCATTTGGTCATCTGATATGGCCATTAATGGGTTATCATAATTCTCAATTTCTCATCCTGTGAGGAAGCCATAATAGTTTGGGCCAGAAACTGAATAATGTCTATGAATAGCTTCTGTAAAAATTAAAACACAAGTAACATGTAAAGGATAGAATACTTTAGCCAGTATGGTAGTACATACCTGTGGTCTCAGCACTTGAGATGTAGAGGCAGTTGGTTCTGGAATTCAAGGCCAGCCTGGGCTACATGAGACCCGTCTCAAAAAGCAAACACACACACACACACACACACACACACACACACACACACACACACACACACATGCACAAGAGCTGGGGGGATGGTTGAGTCAGTACAATGCTTGCTATGCATCATGAGGACCCGAGTTTGTACACCCAGCACCCACATAAAATGTCCAGTGCTGTATGCCTGTAGTCCTTGTACTGGAAGCAGAGACAGGAGGATGCTTGGTGGCTAGGCAGTTTAGCTGTAGCAGTGAGCTCCAGCTTCAGGGAGACAGTCCATCAAAAGCTGAGGAAGAGATTGAGGAAGATATTTGACATCAACCTCTGACTTACACACACACACACACACACACACACACACACACACACACAAAATATTTTCAAAATTCGTCTTTTAAATAAGGCTAGTAACTAATACTATAAGTTTCTCTGCCTGGGGCAAGCCCCCAGCAGCACGGGGCTCAAAGGGAAGCTATGGAGTCGGTGCGTACTGGACTTTTTTATGAGGGTGTTAGGGAAAAATACTCACACACTCTCTTGATATTTTCCTCAGACCTTTTCTTTATTCTTCTTTTGTATTCTCTATTCTTTATTTTCCTGGTGATTTCCTTCTCATTCTTGATGCTTTCCTTCTAACTCTATCTTTATTCCTGATGCTTTCCTTCTAACTCTATCTTTATTCCTGATGTTTTCCTTCTAACTCTATCTTTATTCCTGATGTTTTCCTTCTAACTCTATCTTTATTCTTGATGTTTTCCTTCTAACTCTCTCATTCTTGGTGTTTTCCTTCTAGCCCACTTTAACTCTATCTTTATTATTTTTCTTACAACTTATATACCCCAGCAAAATCTTTCAGGCAATATAAAGATCACAATGTGGTTACATTCTCAATGTGGTTACATTTTCAAGTGATGATTACAATGATTACAAAACAAACAGTAAAAAACAGCATGTCTTCCATATCCCTTACCTGATTAAACATTTTATGTATTACAGGTGAAAAACAAATTATCCCAAGAACCCACATAACATTCATACCCAAGCAACT